AAAACTGTATTCAGTATCCATGCTAACAAAATTGCATTACATTTATCCCACAACTCATGTAGACTAACATCATACATCTCCTTTCTACAGATTCCTAACACAAATCCTAATTTATTTTTACCGTGTAGAACAATTTTCATAGATCTACTCCAAATCGAGTAATTTTCAGAACCTTGAAATTGAATTCAAATGAGAACAAAACCTTGAGTGTATGAAGGATGAATATATAGTGGATGATTGTGATGAACAAGCTCGAGATTCTGAATGTTGTGCGATTGAGAAGCTGGTGTACTTGAGGTTTCAGCAGACGGTACTTCTTCATTAATTGGCATCGTTGCGAAGCAAATTCAGTAGAAACACTTCCTTATCTATTCACTAATCACAATAGAGCACTAGATTGTACTCGTAATTTCTCAAAAAGAACAAAGATGTTCGTTGAGTTCTAGCCAGATACAGAAAAGTCCTAATTTTGGAACTTTTGCACTTACCTGAGAAATTGACTCAACAACTGCTGCTTAATTAACACTCGTCTACTGCTTGCTGAGGTGAGGGATCTAGCTCATAGATCTGATACCATGTTGAAGAGCTCAGCTATGGAATCAGATGAGAACATGCACAAAAGTAATTAGAGAGAAGAGAAGAGAAGCTCCAAACTGATTCCATTAGATGAACAGTAAGAAATAAAATCTGTACAGTATTATAACTAACTAACTACTACTTATACAACTAGCCACCCATTTCTCTTAACTTAACTACAGCTCATTGACAGATGTATACCCACACACATAGAGTTCTCTACAGAAACGAACGATTTCCTTTTAATTCATTATTTATTATGGAGAGAGCTCATCACATGGAAAAAAAAAGAGTTGGAGGTTGTAACAGTTCAGGTAAAGAAATAAAACTGTAACGGTTGAAATGTTGGTTTTCCTTTTTGTATATTTTGGAGATGCAAAGGCTTAATTTTTCCAATTTAATACTGGATTATTCTGTTGAATTGAGTGAGAAAAAAACCAAAACACTGACAAAATAAATAAATACATTTCATTGTCTATGAGATGTGCCCTTTAAATATATATATATATATATATATAAAGGAGGCCTCTGTGTGAAGTCCTTGGATAAACCTGCAAAAGAAAATGAAACAAGTGAGAACATAACAACACGAAAGCGACCCACATATTGCTCACTCGGGAAAAGAATCTCACAATGAGAACGGGCCTCCCACCGGCCCTTCGAAAGCTCGCGCCATGAGCTCTCAGAATATGATCTTTGCAACACGATGCCCTTGACCCACTCCTTGAGACAAGGGACTGCATTCGGGAACCCAACAATAGTTGCACCATCGCAAAGCACCGATAAGAAGGAAGGGAAAAAAGAGTAAAATAAAATTTTGAATACAAAATTTTACTTACGTGATATATTTAATTTCTCGGGGAACGACATGTGCTCAGCTGGGATCAAGTCCGAGGTCCTCACTCGCATAAAACTGCCTAGCCAGCCTCGATCCCGATCCTCATCAATACTCAAGAAAAGGGCATTGCTAGCCCGATGCTCGAGCTTGATCAGTCCCCCCGAAAGAGTTGGGGACTGTATAGACGCATGAGGTGGTCGACGGTGAATGTCCATCCATCGATCTTGCTCACGAAGAATCGAAAAAGGATCACGATCCTCCAGAATTAAGGGTTAATTTGACCGAGGCATACCTCGTATCTTTTGCAGAAGCCGATGATGACCGGATCCAGTGAGCCCAAAGGGATAAGTGTAAACAGTTAAGTATCCCTCGACGTGGGTGGTGATGTCTTCATTGGGTCCGAGAACCACCACGTACTTGTCAATCCAATTGCAATCCTTTTTACCATAGGGAGGACCTCTTCAATGATCGAGTATATATATCCGAGACCTCCTCACATCAGCCTTGTACGGGGGAAGGTTTTTCAGCCTTGAAATCGGCGATAACCGAACATCCTCCAGGGATGAACAATTTCAATGGAGGTTCCTGTACTGGTTCCTCGACAGCAGTACGCAAAACGGTCTCATCGGCAGTCGGTCGCGAGGCAGAAGGAGTTTCTTTTTGGGGAACGGGTTTTGAAGTCTTCGCTATTTCTTTGAAAATGGAGGAAAATGAGGAAAAAAAGAAGTTAAAGGAGTACGCTTGATGGTTTGGAATGGGGATGAACATAAGTTTTTGTAAAAAATCTCAAATAACCTGGATATAGGTGCCAGAGAATATTAAGATCTCTAAGGTACGAAGACAGAAGGTTTGGATGTAAAATTTGAATGAACAATGGAGGGGGTATTTATAATTTTTCAACGATGGTTCGCATCCAGGAGTGGCTGACCGGCAACTGACAAACATTTAATGCCATTAAGACTTGACTGACGAGATGTTTCATTTACTTTGTCTTTTTCTGTCGCGGGATATCGAAGTAAGAATCGGAAGCTCATGTCGTTTCTCGTCGTCTACTTTTCAAAAAATGAGGGGACTATCTGTATATGGTCGAAATCAAGCTCGCCTATGGCATAATAGGTCAGGCTGAGAACATGGCAATACAGATCGACCCCAAGTCTCACCGGGTTAGAATCCAGGGTCAGAATGCCCCACCTTCGGGAATATCGAGGCCGTGATCCTAGAATCGATCATATCCCCGAGCGAGCTCGAAGCAACATTGTTAGCATGGCTAACAGAAGACTGAATTATCCGTGACTGGTCAGATATTACAACCGGAATCTCGACACTTATCAATGAGGAACCGGCAATCAGCAAATCAAGAGATGTTTTTCTTTTATAAAATTGTACCTAAAATAGGACTCCTCTACTATATAAAGGGAGTCTGATAATTTATTTAACACATTATAACACGCATTCCAAAGCAATACATTATTTTTTCTCTTTAAGCTCTTATTCAATTGTATCTTGATACTGATCGAAGTGCATCTGGTTCGAGGGTGGCTAACCTTTCAAGACTGTAATTGTTCAATTCGTGTGGTTTGAATTTACTTTACCATTATTTATTTCAATTGCAACTTAATTTATCGTTTTGTGTCAAGTTAATCCGCATATCTTAAAACCACTTACAAAATTTAATTGTTATCCGATTTTGAGCTTAAATAAAAAAGACTAGCATAATTTCTAAACTCTCTTGCTAAGCAATGAGCAATTAGATTTATTAGCCTTCTAAAAGCACTCCAAGCTATGTAAAATCTTTATTTGAGGAGTTACAAGAAAGTACAATTTCATGGGCATCACATTTAATTATACCCGAACCATCAAAATGTTAATTCAATAAGGCGAGATGTAAACCCATAATTTCAGTATGTCTAGCATTGACACAACCTCGAAAATCCAAGAAGCTGTAGGTACAAATTGACCTTTTGAATCATGTACAACATCCCATGCTCCACTGCGGCCCGAGTAAGGAGAATAGTTATATCTATATTGTACTTCCAAAGAGAGACATTCTAATACAATGCAAATCTTACTTAACGTTTTAAAAATAATGTATCAAAAATTAACCGAAATGTACAATATCAAAGAGATATCGAGATTATGTATGTGGTAAGCCTCTCGCTTTTTTTGGCTACTTCTATTTTACTGCTATATAGAAAAAGCAAATTGAGGAATGAGAATATTGATAACGTCCAAATAGATTCCTCAGAGTAAGTGTACACTGTCATGTGCAATATAATTAACCTAATTATTAGTCGGGATTGAATCTACAAAAAATAATATGAGGCTCTTGGACAAATAAGAGAATTATCATTTTTTATGTTAAGCCAAATACTAATAAGAGTTTCGGAAAAAAATAAACTAATGCGAAAATATAAACTAACATAAAAAATAAATAAAATTGTCAATGGCCACAAAAATAGATATAAGAGAAATCACTCTCAAGTAATGATCCAATGTATTTTACGATACAAATAAGTGCAAACTTATGCTAATTAGCCTCGAATAATAATACTATGTTAGCTTCTCTCGAAAACTAACAAGATTATCTAGTTAAATATTCCTAGAGCAATTAAGAGCATTAAGTACACTCCGAATATGACTACAAGTAGTTCGATTTTTTGTGATTATGAGTTGACTTGATTAGCAAGTACGGTTAGGTGTCATCACGACCTGAAGTTGAATTTTGGATCTTGATAGAAAAAATGTATAAAGAGACAAATAGAGATAGTATAACGATATTTATATTTTGAACTAATTTAAAGTAAATAAATTAAATAATATAAAAAAGTTATATATATATATTTAAATGTTGAAATAGTTTCAAGATTGAGGATAAAAGTGTAATTTTTATTAAATTTTTAGAATAAAAAAAATTTATATTTACCAATGATTACTAAAAGTCAATTGGTAAGCTAATGAAAGATCACATTATAGTATAATAATATCAAGTAATGAATAATGCAATAACTATAAGCAAATATTAAAAAATATATATATATAAAAAAATAAAAAATAAAAACAGATCACAATGTGAAAGTGAGAATTTGAGATGAAAAATAAAGTGGTAATCAGAATTTTGTTAAAATATATGATCTAATATGCTCGAACAAGACAGAACATAACGTGTAATATTCTTTAATATTGAAACAAAATATAAATACTAAATTCAAGAGGTTGGGTTGCTAAAAATATAAAAAAATGCAAACATTTTATTCAAATTTGAGCAATAGTTTCATGTTCATCTGCACAATTAATATCCAATAATTATCGATAATTTTTAATTTAAACTAATGGTTCAAATAAAACACAGATGGCACATTTGGTAACCAAACAACAATCTAATAGTAAGTAATAAACAAATAAGGGAATCCACACACCCTAACAAGATTAAGAGCTGACTTATGAACAGCTGTTGCCTTAATTAGTCATTTAGTCGTTACCCACTTATTCTTTCTCCAGTTCTCCATCATCTAAAATCCTCTTCCAGTTTCCATCTCTTTTAGTCCCTTTTTTCTATTTTTCCTAAATCAACCAACCATTCGAAAAGATGCTTTCAGTTGGTTATAAATACATAATTCTGTTGTTTCTTATTGTTGTTGTGATTGGATCTGAGTCAGACTTGTCAGGAAAAAGCTCACTTGATTCCTTACTTCAAGAATATGCTTTCAAGGCATTGAGATTTCCAGAAACTAAAACAGGTACTCCTTATAACGGATCTGTTCCTTCCAATTTGAGTGGGATTAGAATTTCTGCTTTAATGCTTAAAAGGGACAGCTTAAAATGGAGAGGTTATGGTTACTATAATGAATTTTTTATCCCAACTGTGGTCATTGAGGAGCCTTATGTAGAGGATCTTGTTCTGGTTTACCAAAACATTGGTGATTATTGGTCCTCATATTATTATTCTTTGCCTGGTTACACTTATCTAGCACCAGTTTTGGGAATCTTAGCTTATGATGCTTCTAATTTGTATGCCACAAATTTACCGGAATTGGATATTTTAGCGATGGATGATCCTATTACTATCAAGTTTCCTTATGTGCAGCCTGCCCCAGAGGGATCTTTGCCCAAATGTGTTTATTTCTACTCCAATAATTTGGTCGAATTTGGGGATGTTACAGATGGAAATATTTGTGAGACAAGAATACAAGGCCACTTTGCTATAGTTGTTGAGGTGTCTGTTGCTCCAAGTCCTTCTCCTGCTGCTGATGAAATTGCTCCAAGTTTTCCTCCTACTCCTCATGATGATAATAATGATCATCAAAAGAACAAATCTGAAATATGGATTATTTCATTGGTAGTATTTCTAGTTTTTGCTCTATTCGGAATATTGTTTGTTATTGTAAAACGGTTTGGATTATTAGAAAAAAGACAGAGGTTGTATGATTCAGCAGAAATTGTTGAGCCCTTGTTAGGGAACACTGAGGTGACATTGCCATTGGAAGCTCCAAGTAGACCATTGCTAGAGAACGACTACGTGCTTTAGGTTATACACAAACCTTTACACATCTCGTAGAGTCATGTGTCCTAGTACTCCTTTTTTGGTTTTGGTGTTTGGTTTCCCACATTGGGATTGGGGTATCCAAATCCTTTAATTAACTATGAAATTCACAGTAGTTACAACCCCACCACAATCTTCAAAACAACAATTTGTAGCTTACATTGCAAGGATTTTTTTTACATTATTCATGTAATTTAATGTATAATAACAAGTTAGTTACTCTATTTTCTAGTCCATCAAATTATGAGTTAAATTAGATTATCGCTTAATAAAACATGAATGCATATTTAACTATGTATTATATTTGTTCAACCAACATGACGCTGTGAAAGTTTCCGAAAGAAATAAAAAAGTTGTGACTCCCTCTGTTTTCATTTAGTTGTTATACTAGTTTTAGCGTATGCGTGCACGTGTGTCCCATATTAATAGTAATAAATTAATATAATATTACTTAAAAATAATATTAGTCATAAAAAAAATTATAGAAGAAATGCAAATCTTTAAAAATGATCAATGATGATCCTTTTTAGTTAACTAAATAAAGAAAAAGTCCATGGCTATATTGTTCGCAATAGTATCTCAGTCCTTTCATGACCGTTCTACTTTGAGGAAATTACTTGAAAGGACAAGTTTGAAATGAAATAATGTTATCTCTAGAAATTTTCTTATATTATTTTTATAAGCAAACGTAATGACTGAGAAAATATTCTTAGACCAACTATGAGAAGATATGAATATAGTTGGTTGATGTTTGTAATTAGAAAAAAGAAGAGAAAAGCTAAAAAGAAATTAAATATTGACGTTTTGTCCTTGAGTACTCTATTAAACTCAAAGGAGCACCAATAAGCCTAACATGTTCTCTCATTACATATTTTCTTCTTTCAACTCATCTATTTTAATAATCTCCAATAAAGCTCTTTTATAGTTTAGAACACTTTATAGAGAGCATTCTCGATACAACTATGAGAATGCCAATCCATTTCAAAATTTAGATAAAGAACTTAGTTGAATTAAAATAACGATTTTACAAATAATGCACTAAATTCACCTCATACTCATATTAAATTCTAAATTATAAAGAGAGATTTTATATTCGAAACAAGCAAATGGAATTGGAAAAGACAATATTTAAGGAAATAACAAACGCATAGATGTTCTAATTAAAACATTTTGAAGTTACAATATTGCTATTCCAGTAACTTAGCACTTGAGTATAAATGTTGTCATATGTTGTAAAACATAACCAACACATATATATCTAGTATTCATGCATCATTAAGCATAGCAGTAAAGTAAATCAATTCGGCTATCATCTCAAACTAAGAAACAAAATAAGTTATGGTCAATGAATATTATTCAGTAAAAGGTCAGGACGTAGAGATAAAGAAAAATTGAGAAAAATAAATTAACAAATAACAAAATATGAGTAGTTGTTAGATATCTTCAAGGAAAAATACTGAGTTGCTATATATGAGAAAAAGAGTTACAAGAAAATTATTTCATAGGAGATGTGTGGATCATTTGATCTTCATCAAATTTACGTTGAATTTTCACGCTTATTAGTCCTCATAATCTGCAATAACAAACATAAGAGGATCTCTCAGGATTTGATCGGTGGCGTCGAAGCGAATTCAAAGAATTTGTGGAAAGATACTCCTACCTCTTGTACTGCTAGCCTTAAAATTACAAAATTCATTCAACATAATTAATTATATATACAACCTTTAACTCAAGCAAACACCATGGCAGTCACGGAAGATATGCACATATACAAAAAAATAAATATCTATAGAACTTAGAAGAAGTACAACAAGAAGAAAATAACCTTTACGTTAAGAAAAAAAATAAAAAAAATAAAACAAAAGGACATCCCAAGCTTATAAGACCGAAGATTTTTGATGATTGAAGATCCAACAGAATGTGTCAACCTTTCCATGGGAACTGCTTTCTCTATTTGTACTTTTCAAGTGTTCAGTGAGTACTTTGCATGGCCTTTTATCATTTAAATTCTTCTTGAGGTTAGGAAGACAAAACAAATGTCCATTGAGTTTTTCAACATTAATAAATAAAATAACCGTCTCTATTCCTATTCCTAATGACTACAAACTCTTGATATTTGTTATTTATTAGAATGTAAATTTACATTCTTGTACAAATTTTTTAAATAAGAGTTGCGTTAGATTGAAGAGTAAAGCTGTCATTCAACTTTTGATGGGTAAATTTGTAAATCAACTTTTAACTTAGGGTGTTTCCACTTTTAATATAATAATAATAATAATATATATATATATAGATAGTATATAGTATAGCATAGTATAATATGATGATATATAGTAGAAATTTTCAATGTTTGACCAATCAGTGTGCATTACAGCAATATCTATTGGGCTTTTGCAGTTGCAAACAATTCGAAAATGTCTTACAGCAATATCTATTGGACTACTTCCATGTGACATGGTAAAAATTGCACGGGCGTCCTATTTGGTCGACCCATTTAATTTATACTTATTTTTTAAAATTTTTTAATTTGCACCCACTTTTTAAACAACTCCAGCTCCATTTCTCCTCCCCTTCAGTACCTCACCAGAAGAAAGCAATGTTGTATTTTAACATTTATAAATAACGATGGAATAGTAGTATCAACAAAGTGAAGAGAAAATGCAGTTTNACAGTTAGAACTGTAAAAATTGCACGGGGCGCCCTATTTGGTCCCCCCTATTTAACCTATACCCATTTTTTTAAATACTTTTAACTTGTACCCACTTTTTAAACAATTTCAGCTTCCTTTCTCCTCCCCTTCAGTACCTCACCAGAAGAAAGCAAGATTGTGTTTTAACATTTATAAATAACGATGGAATATTAGTATCAACAAAGTGAAGAGAAAATGTAATTCTTTATCTGCATAAATACTAAAGGGGAACTAGATTTTGATAAGAGTTGGTATCCAAGTTCTTTGTGCATTTAATCTTTCTCTTTCTGATATTTTTTTCATCTACAGATATTTCTCTACTGGACAAAATGGTGATATATGAAAATGAGAAACAACGAGTTGGATGGCTTCCAGCAAACTGCAACAGGCTACTACTACCAGATAAATTACTCATAAGCATGAAAAAATACTTTATGACTAAAAATCTCAACGAGAATCACCAAAGTTATAGCGGCTATCTAACGAAATATCAATTTGAAGCTAGCTTAGAAATATCAAGCTAACTTAGAGCTGAAGTTTCCCAGTTACAACACAAAAACTTCAGTTCTAGAACTGAAGTTCTCTAGTTACAACACAAAAACTTCAGCTCTAGAGCTGAAGTTTCCAGTTACAAAACAAAAACTTCAGCTCTAGAGCTGAACTTCAGGCCCGGCTATTAGAATGCTGAAGTTTTGCGTGATTGCCTTTGCTACTTCATCCCCGTGTGCTGAAGTCATGCGAAAAAGCGGGTACGCTTGCAATTTTTTTTGCAAAGCGGGCACAAGTTAAAATGTGACACAAAAAACGGGTATAGATGCAAATGCCCATGTGACATGAATGATTCCTTAATTAATAATATGAAATTCGGGAGAAATTTAAAAATAGCCAGATTTACAAGTGTTCATTCAGCCACAGTTTCAAAAGTAATCGAAATTTAGTCACTTTTCATATAAAGATAAATCTGAACAAAAATACTATTCAAAAGCTGGAAAAATACACCAGCATAATATACTGGAGTTACAGTATAATATACCGGTCCAGCATAATATACTGGAGTTTGGAGCACCGGTGCTCCAATCTCCAGTATATTATACTGGAGCCAACAAAGTATACCGGTCCAGCATAATATGCTGGAAGTTCATACACAGGTGCACCGAACTCCAGTATATTATGCTGGACCGGTCTTTGTTACAGCAAAGTAGTGGCTATTTTTTAGTGACTTGACAAATACTAGCTATTTTTAAGTGACCAGTCTGAAAACTGGCTAGACCGTTAGAGAGTTTTTCACTCAAAGGTGTGTGAATGCGACTCTTATATTCCCCTACCCTACTTGCCTTCTTGGAAAATAAAAAATCTTTGCAGAGTGGGAATTTGTACAAGACTAACTCAATTCACGTACTCTAATAAAATCGGCGCATCAGCACATGTTGCTCAACTGATTAAACTTTCACTAAAAGTTCTTAGTGATTTAGGAATAATGTAATTCATCTGATCTAGGCACAGTATAAAAAAAAATATAGTGGTTAATATAGAATGTGAAACGTTTTTTTTTTGGGGTGGGGGTTTCAATAAAAATGTAGGAAACGAGAAGTTATCCATGGTGTTAAAGAATCTTGAAGCTAGAGGAAATGAGAATGAGGAAATTTACCCTATAAGTGATTTAAATTATTATTTACTTCTAATTGTGGGGCTACGTATGTACGAGGTGGCGAGAATTCGTGCATAACTACTAATTATGCTTATGTCGGGTAGTTTAGGACCCAAATCATGAAATGCTTGTAATATTTTGTCACGACCCGGATTTTCCACTGTCGGGATCATGATGAGGCCTAACTTTTTAAAATGCTAGGCAAGCCAACAGATAAATATCTAAAATGCTAACTGCTATCCAAAACAGTACATAGCAATAATTAAACCAAAACAAATTAAAGAAGAGCGAAAATTTGTAATAATCCAAAAACTACTATACGACTATCCAAAATCTGGTGTCACAATCCACGAACTTCTAAGAGTCACTACAAATATTGGTTTAAAAAAAATACATCTGTTCTCGAAATAAATAAAAACAGTGAAACTAGGATAACTGGAAGGGACTCTAGGGTCTGCGAATGCTAGCAGATCTACCTTGGGTCTCCTGTGGACTGAAAGCAGCAACCCAACTCTGATCAATGCGGCCCAGTACCAGGATCTGCACAGAAAGTGCAGAGTGCAGTATCAGTACAACTGATCCCATGTACTAGTAAGTGTCGAGCCTAACCTCGGCGAAGTAGTGATGAGGCTAGGACACGACAATAAT